GGCCCCGCGTCCCCTCCGGCGGGGAAACCGACGTGCGAGGAAAATACCGCAGTTCCAGACCTGTAAACGCCTCTTAGCTGGCACTGAAAACCCGACTTATTTATTTATTTATATTTTTTTTTGTAGGAGCTTGTGAGAATAAGCGTTGCGGTGTGTGTCGCTAACCCCCACGCTTGGCATTCCTTCCAGGGAACGAGCCTGAAATCCTGCTCCGATCTCCCGTTGACCCGCGTCGTTCCGTTGAGATTACAGCCGATTTGATCCGCTGGAATCTGCTGTGGGAAGCGCTGCGGGCTCCGTGAGCAGCTCTGCGGAGCGGCGTGCGTGGAGGGCGGCCCTGCGGCGACTGCCCAGGGATGTGAGCGGCCCCCGCGAGGCCGAGCGCGCCCGCCCGGGCTCCTGCCTCGCCGACCCTTTGTGCGGGGGGAAAACCCGCCTGGAGCCGGGGATGATGTCGGTGGAAGGGTCTACGATAACGAGTCGGATCAAGAACCTGCTTCGCTCCCCTTCCATCAAGCTGAGGAGAAGCAAGCCTGGCAACAAGCGGGAGGACATAGGCAGCAAGGTGGGTGCTCTGTGCTGCTAGCAGCAGGCTTTAAGTCCGTTGCCTAAGGTCTCGTCTGTACTAAAAATACTGTTTTAGAGGAGCTGGTTTAACTCTCGCGTCCTGCAGAGCAACTGAAACTGCAGCCATAGTCTGTCTTTCAGCTGGTGTATTAGCTGTGCAGCCTGTTCCTGCTGAAGCACAGCTCTTGTTTTGGAGGCGTGCTGTGTTTGCTTATGCTGTATGTGACTGAAAGTACTTAGTGTGAAGTTATTACATAGGAAAGCTTGGGGAGGGAATAATGAACCGTTTCATCAGTTTTCTACCTTCTGGTGTGTGCAGCCTTTGAGGGTGACTGGCAGCAGTGACATAATGCTGCCTCTTCCTCCGTATTTCCAACTGCTAACCTGCCTTATGGGCAACTAGCAGTACACAAATGCCTGCTCTTCCACATAAACAATGGCTCTCGGCCCTTGCAAAGGGATATTCCGTGAGCATACAGGGAAGGGTAGGATCATCTGAAACATGGGAAGTGCAGACGTGTCTCTTCGGTGCCTGTTTGGATGGGGTCTGTGTTCCAGCATCCTGGCTGAGCTCTTCTCGATGTTCCTTCTGTGTGGGAGTGCCTCAGCCTAACGTACTGCTTCTCCTGGGAATATCTTGTGTGGGATATAATTGCTTCTACCTCTGTAATTCGTCATCCTTGGTATCCCAGAGAATTCCTGCCAGTCAGTCATTCCCTGGGAATGGACTGGTGTCACGAGGTGAGGAGGATGATTTAACCTCGGCTGCGAGGAGGACAGGACCTGGGGACACGGCCCTGTGCTCACACGGAGCCTTTGAGTTAGGGGGCTCCTTCTCTCTCTCTCTCATTCCCTTGTGAGCTTGGGCAGATCGCTCAGCCTTTACATTTTTTCTATTTCTCCATAAATAGTAAGGTTAAGCCTCTTCCCTCATGAGGGCTCACTAGTAAATGAGAAAATGCTTGTAATCCGTGAATGCATAGAGCATTTGTTTGTCTAAAAGCAGTTGTTTTTCTGCAGTGTAGCTGCTGGAGTGAGGACAGTGTGTTAAATAGCAGGGAAAAATAAATGACACTTTCTTTAAGCGGTCTGTCCTTGGTGTGAAATTCTGCTCCCAAGGCTCTCGTTTAGGTGGGAGGTTCCCAGAGATGGCTGCTCAGTACAAGGAGCACAATTTTAATTTCTCTCTTCTCTCTTACCAAACAAGAGAAAAACCTGCTGAGTTTCCTCAGAGTTTCTGGAGGAGAGTTCTTAGTGCCTGTGCATGACCTCGGTGTACGCGTGTGCTGCCCCCAGTGTGGCCGGGCTCCTGCCAGTGAGACATGCCTTGTGTTTGTTGCTGAGGGCTGCTTGATCCAAGTTGCACAGACACCTTTGTTGAAACAGCCAAAAGGCACCTGTGCCAGAGTGTACAAGGAGTATTAGGTTCTGCCTCTGTAAAGGGGAGCTGAGAACTGCTCGTTCCTCTTCAGACCTGGGGGCTGCTGCTATAACCCCCACCTGCTGTGTGGTACCTGCTTTGATGTATCTTTTCTTTCCTTCTTGTATGTGCCTTTTGGAAAAGCTCCAGTGTATCCCCATGGCATCTCCCAGTGTGCAGCCAGGGCTGTCTGGCGCTCTGCGGACACTGTTCATTCTACACCATCAAATTAGCATTTTGTGTGTTATTAGCAAGAGCAGTAGACTGGCGAAATGCAAGGAAAGAGCAGTGTGATGTAGCAAGGGTGGCTTTGTGGGTGCTTTCCCTGATAGCTTTTTCTTCTGGGGACGGTGCTGCTGGAAGCAGTTTGCCATCCCGGGATCCTGCATGCCAGGTGCTGGAGGTGGTTTCCCAAGGCAGGCTGCTCTCCGAGTCGCTCTCCCAGCTCCCCTTTGGAAGGCAGGCTCCAGGGCACAGGCCCCATAGCAGAACTTGCCTCCTTGGCATCTGTGGGGATGCGCCCTCCACCATGTGTGTGCTCCTCTACCTTCCAAGGTGAAGCAGTTCCATGCTTCTGAAATATCAAGAAACAGATTTTTCTCTTTTTTGCTGGCTTGGTGTGAGTGTAAATCCCTTGGGACTGAAATGAAGCATACTCTCGAAGGGTTTTTGCTGACCTGCTGCAGGTGAGAAGGGATTTTTCCAGTCATCTTTGATGATGTCTCTTGGACTGGCTGAGAATTGCCTGCTCAGAGGTGCGTGAGACTCTGGTGTCATTGATTAGGCAGCCCTGGCAGCACGGAAGGGCCTGTGGGCTTTGTAGCCTCGGCCGCTTCTCTCTGCCGAATGCTGCCTGGCTGCCTGGGATGGAGCAGCCGTGGTGCCTGAAAGGTGAGTCCGTGCCCTGCACGTGCGGCCGCAGGGGACGTGGGAGCCTCCTGCACCTCTGTCGTTTGCAGCGAGCAGCTCCGTGTAAGACGTGTGGGAACCCGCGCTGGTTGCAGCTTTCACGGGCTGCGGCGCGACCGGTGGAAAGCACCCAGCTCTTCCCTAAACATCCCTGGATCCAGGAGAGACCTGTGAGGCTGCCGCGGTGGGCAGGGCCTGGGGCAGTGTGTGGCGCTGTGGGAATGGGCTGAGGCAGGGTCAGCTCCGGAGGCAGCTCCGTGGGCGCTCCACACGTGCGGCAGTGGGAACAACAGAGGTACCTTGTGTGACGGGGATCAGGGCCTGCACTGTGCTGCTCGAGGGCAGGACAAGGGACAACTTGTTTTGGGACTCTGATTTGTATTAGTCCGTATTTTTTGCCTATAACTAATGCGTGGTTCTGCTCTGCTGCCCCAAGATGTCTACAGGAGGAAGAAACCAGTAACTAACTGTGGATATTAAAGAGTGTAAATAGGGGGAAGGGACAGGAGGTGTTTAAGCAAAGCTTATTGACAAATTGCAGGTAATCCTTGGTGTAAAGCTAGAAGCTGAAAGCTGGAACTTCCCCAGACAAGCCGGTTTGCCCGAACTCAGTTTCTGGAGGATCACTGGGCCCACTGGCATCGTGGCTGTGCTGCTGGTCACTGAGCCCGTGGCTCCGAGCAGTGGAGAGCTGGGAGCCCACGAGTCTGCATCGATCGCCCTGCGCACTGGCAGGGCCGTGGGGAAGGTCGCGCTTAGAAGGATGCCGTGTTGCAGGCGGCAGCTGAGGTGCTGGGAGGAGGCGCAGGGGGCAGCCCCCACTGCTGATGTGTCCTGCTTGCGGCAGTGGCTCCGCACTGGTGGCGGTGGCACCTCAGAGGGACAGTGCCTACCAGGGTGTTGGTGCCGCTCCAGCTCTCCCTGGGGCTGTTCAGGGTCTTTTTAACCCAAACAGCTGTGTCTGTGTTAGTGGGGGAGGACCATCAATCAAACCAGATTAGGAATGTCAGGGCAGAAACAAATTGCTACAAAACTGCATGCAGGCTTTACCATACATGTGTAAGCCGGAGAGTCAAAGAAAAACATTTGGAATTTGCTGCTTGCCTGGTTGATCTCTCCTTTTTTTTTTTTTTTCCCTGAGCCAGCAATATTTCAAGTTGCCAGTTTAGATCAGTGGTTTGACTAAAACCTGGCATTCCCCAGCAGGGATGCATGTCGCACAGGGACTCTTGTATTGTGGCTTCCTCTTCATCAGATGTCTTGCAAGTGGTGCAGCTGGGTGCTCGCTGCAGCTCCACGATGCTGAGCTGGCCTTGGGCGGCTTTGCAAAACCTTTCTTGAGAGGAGCTGTTTGGAAAATGAGCTCTGGCTAAACTGCTTCTAGGCGGACAAGGCTTCCTTGTGAGGAGCTGTGGTTCTCCCACCAGCCTGTGGGTTCCTATCCACCTGATGGTAGCTCCCCGGCTCAGGAGCAGAAACACGGATGTGCCCGTGTGTCCTGCCTGTGAGCACGTGCGCACAGGCACGGATTTATGAGGGAAGATGATCCGTGGAAGCTGGAGACCCGTCGTGCTTTTGGTGCCCTCACATTCCCAGCCTGGTTCTGCAGCTCCTCGGTCCCACACACCAGCCTTAGCTGCAGGGCTTGGGCTGTGTGGGCTCATGATCTGGCTGCGTGCAGCACGCAGTCCTTTCTGTTTAAAAATACTGTAGCTTCCAACAGGAACCAGTTTAAACTGCTCCTGGTCTGCACTTGACCAACTGAGAGCTGCTGAACCTGAATGGGAATAGCGCCAAAAAATACATGAGTTTGATTCACTGATATAAATGCTTCAAAAATCGTCACCTCTTATTAAACTAGTTCAAGGTGCAGCCCAAGCTTGTTGCAGAGTAGGGTTTGTTCAAGTCCAGCAGGGAAGCATTGCGAGTCTGTGCTGTGGGGAGCAGCCTGGAATGGAGGTGATGCAGAGGGAGTCCCGTCTGCTGCCATCACCAGCTCTTGTGGCGGAATCTGGACAGGCCTTTCAGAAGGTGGGCATTTTGGGGGGCTGTTGTACATGACGTTGCCCCTCTCCGCTCCCTGCAGTTGGAGCAGTGCTCGGCCTGCTGCCTTTGGGGCCAGCACAGCCGCAGCAGCCGTGGTCCGGCTGCGGGGAGCCCCCGGCGCAACCCCAGGCTGCTCCATGCTCCTGTGTGTGTGGGGCTCGGCCCCAGCTGCTGCCCAGGGAGCTCCTGCACCTCCGCATCACCGAGCCCCACAGCGGGTCTTTAGGGGCTGCAGCCACAGGCACAAGGGATTTCATGTCTGGCTGTGGCCAGGCTTATATTGGAGCCTCCCGAAGCAGAGGACAAAGGCTGAGCAGTTATTTCTGCATCTCTGTGGATGGCCAGAGCTGGATTTCAATGACATGTCTGTACCTTGGGATAGAGTCAGTGGAACAACTGAGCCTGGCATAGCTCTTGGGCTGGTCATTTCCTTCCAGGCTGCTCTGGCCCCTTCCACTTCATCCTTAAATAGGTGGTGCTCACAACTGAACCCTTGTTTCTCCACAGTTTCATGTACATATTCCCCTCCCTCCATTCTTCCCTCTGTGCAAGTTATGTCTTGTCTTGAAATTCTGGGTCAATCAGGCTTGGTTGCCTGGCCTGAGTTGGAGGCTAATATGGGC